AAAAAAAATTATGCAATGGTTAATATGGTATGTGGTACTTGTTTTTAGGCCCTCATTCTTTAACTATAATTTAATGAACATAGCTTTCTTTCCTTATTCAGGCGACTTTCTTTCCGAGTTATTCTAAGTATTTAATAAGAACTGAAGTTTCTTGAACAGACTGAAACAAATTCCAGTACGCTCTATATTGAGAACTGAAAGATTTTAAGGGACACAAAAACAAGAAAAAATATTATCTTCGTTTGCACCGAAGCTATTATACCCTTCGCAGATGCATTAGCATAGCATAAAAGAGTATACAAGATTTTTATTTAGATTTTGATCGGTCAGTTGAAATGGCAGCTTTAAGCTATAGTGATCCAAGCTGAACAATATGTTCGGAGATTATAGCGAGGCATTCATTAATAATATAGGCCAAATCTCATGAAAATATCTTGACAAATAAAAGAGTTTTCCATACAAGGAAATACAGACAGACATGGCTAATTGGACTTAGCTTCTCACGCTAATCATTTATATATGTATATGGTACACTTGATGAGGTCTTCGACGTTTACTTTTAGGTACTACAAATACTGTGACAAATTTAATATACCCTGTTCAGGGTATAAAAATAATTTGTGTAAGAAAGCGTTCGATTCGTTTGATTGAATGGTTGTAATTTCAATTGTGCTAAACATCTTACTACAAGTATAATCTTTATTTAACCTTATTTTGCTAATAATAACTTTTATCAGGAAAATCAACTTTAAGAACTTTATATATAAATATTTTTTTATCTTTTACTGACCTTTAATTCTTCTGTGTTTTCTTGAATGACTTTGTCAAACTGGACCAATTCACCGAATATGAACCCAAATCCTTGCGAGGTATCAGTCGCGGGAATGCGTGCCATTTCAATAAACTTGAAAGAAATTAAATTGTGAAGAAATATCAACGATGGGTTAAAATAAAATGCGCTTTCCACTTTACTAACCTGGACAAAGCACATCACAATTAAGAGGCCGAGAAGACACTTCAATATGGGAGACATTGTGTGAATTTTTGTGGTAACCGGAACTAGTGAACTGCTTAGTGAGAGCGATGGTAAGTGAATATATTGTCGACTGTCATGCAAGAAGCTTTTATAGTTCTTTTCGTAATCTATTTGTACATAGATCAGCGAACTAATAGTGTGTTTGAAGACATAATTGAAACAAGTTCCTAATATTGAGTTATACCAACAATAAATATACGAGGGCATTAAGGTGTGTAAATATTTCGAAATGAAAGTTTTGAAGTAATAAATAATTGAAATATGCATTATCTTTAAAAAGCAATAGGAAAGAGACTATATCATTGAAGATTTGGCGCTTTATGCAAGAACTTGAAGTACAGACGTAGAGGCACCCAAATACTCAGTACAAATCACGCTCATCGGGTTGCTATAAATATTTGCTCTGTGTGATACCTTTAAGTCATAGAACATTTCTCAAGAAATTGCTTTGAATGTCATTTAATAACTTTTATGTTACATATTCTTATTAAATTTTTAGGAGTAGCGAATAACCGCTATTTACGGAAATCAAATTTAACGATAGATTGGGAAAGGCTTTTTAGAAAAATATTTGATCCGTAAGATATAACACACCCTAATACAGACATAATAATGAGGACTAAAAATGTGAGTGGTGCGTTTGCCTTAGGTTCATGGGGTGAAATTCAAACACTTTGCATGCAATACTTTTAAAATGTTCTTTTTTCAGTTTTTTTACTTCAAACAATTTATTTCAATTTCTACGAATTTTTTTTTGCACGCACACACGTTTCATAGCTCCGCAATATATTTTTATGTGTGCGTAATTTTTTTTGTAGTGATATTTTTTTTTTTTTCAATAAATAATACGCGCCACATTCGGTCTATTTGTCTGACGATTGATTATGCGAAAAAGGGTTCGGTCCATTCACGCAATTTAGGCTTATAACGAGATAACGAGTTCCTAGAATAATTCCTAAATTTCTGATAACAATCGAACATGGACGATTTAGAGAGAGAAGAGGGGCGAAAAAGCATCGCTCAGTTTCGCAAAAGTATCTACGGCGGTGATGAGGTCGAATTTGCCGATATTTTTCAATTCGATATTGATGAAGATGATCATAAGAAAATACTACAAGTGATGAGGGACTCTCTGCAGCGATTACCAGATAGCTTTCGTAGCAATATTTTGGACAAATTCATAGAGGAACATCCCGAGTTAAACTGGAAGATAGAGACATTTGAGGAGAATGATGAAGATCAAGATAATATAGAAGATATTTTGAAAACATTTCGTTTTGATAGCTTAATACCATCGCGTTGGGTGGAAGTTCATGAGACATTTGACAGTAAATTGCGCCCATTTTCTAGCGCATTCATGATCAGAGAATCCGAAAAGTTTTGGGCTATAATTCAAGCGACTGAAGAAGCACATTTCGAACCGATTCGGACGTATGCGGTTGAAAAATTAAGCAACGATATCAACAATTCTCTGTATACGATCTATAAATTAAATCAATGCAAAGATGAGGACTTCAGATTGGATGACTACGAGCATTTTCATATTTTCAGTTGGACGCAGGATCGATTTCTTGCTAGAAGACATATGAAAGGTATTGCTTGGGTTGGCATTTTTACGAAATCTTTAACTGAAGAATGTTTGGACGCGTTCAAATTGCGTTATGATATTCTGGAATTGGTGCGACTGTTGAAACCACCTCTAGCAAGCTTCTATAGCGCAAGTGCTGCTTTCATTAATGAAAGAAGTGATTGAGTAAGTAAATTAATGCTTTCAAATGTAAACTTTTCGTATTCAAGAAATGTTAAGGGCCTATTACATATGTGTCGATGACAGTGGTCAACGCTTTTGAAAGAGAGATTACTGCCGTTATCGTATATTTACAGTCCTAAATATATTTTTTGATTTAACGTAAATTTCCGAGATAATATCACTAATTTCTATTACTCATTTACTACTCGCATTAGAAATGCACGCCAATTGCTGAGTTTCAATGATAAAATCATGAAAGAGCTGGAAGATAACCTGGCATTTTACTGTGAAAATGTCAATCAGATCACAAATATTTCGCTCCAACGTCGAAGTGCGGGCCGTGATGTGGTAAAAAACTACTTCGAACTGGAAACATTGGCTTTTGTTGGTTAGTATGATTTAATGTTCTGAATTCTGTCCAACACATGTAATAAGGTCACTCTTTTATTAGTTCGCGATCCCATCGAGAAACGATATCAAATAAACTATTATAAGCAAAAGACGGCTGACTGGCAGTGCTACTTCGACAAGCAGGAGAGTCAAATTGTGGAAAAATTACATAAAGTTCAGAAGAAGCATAATGCTGAAGAATACTGTCATTCTTCCATGATGCAGTGTATATACGGAATAATAGAGGTTGGTTAGACAAAGGTTAGAGGGGTGATTTCACACTGTTGACAATTGGCTAGTCAACTTAAACATAACATACTTTTAGGCTGATGATTTCATTTGACGAATCATATTTTAACAATATATATTTGGTGAAATGCTAATGTTTGTTTTTCATTTCCGTTTAGGACTACAAACATCGCATTGAAGTACTGTCTGAAGAATACGATGGTCGCTTCAATGAAATCGACGAAAAGAACAGAAAACTTAAAATTAATATGGATAAAATGAAGATTCAACACGACTTTTTAATGGCAGAAAAGGATTACATGCAAATGAGAATTGAGGAAATACAAAAGGGCAAAGAGGTAAAACTTTCTAAAAGGAAAAAACGCTCCCTAATGTCGATGTTATCAAGTGGCAGCGTAAAAGAGTTGAAGAAGAAACGCTCCAAGATAAATAAACTAAATATCGGTATATATTAATGTACTTTTACACAAGTAACGGTATTGTATAGAAGATAAATTCTAAACGGTTTTCAAGAAATATAGATACTTCTATTGACATAATTAATGTTTTCATTTGTACATGAGTGCCAGATTGGGCCTTAAGATAAGGGAGCGATCATTCAAAAGAAAAACGGTTATTTTAAGCTAACCATTGCAATATATTTTGAAACTAATTAAACTCTTAATTTATCTTTAACAACTTCACAAATATATTTTCAGCTGAGAACTTTTTTCTGACTTAAATATAATCACCATTATACCATTGGTGAAGAAACCTAAAAGTTGTATCCGAAATGGGCTCAAATATTTTTTGAGAAAAGGCTGCTTATTCTTCACATTCGATATCTCAAGATATAGTGCTTTTAGCCTCGGCCGTCGGCTTCCCATCAAGCGCGTCATAGGTTCGGTGAATGGGACCAAAACGAGATGGCCCTCGTTCCCTATTTTCACAAGAAAATTTATTGATGGTATATCACTCCAATTGCTGCAAAAAGATGTCGAAAATTAGAACTATCGGCTGGAGTTAAATTCGAAATTTAAGAACTAAATATATAACATGTTACATTTGCGCTAGAGCAATGAGAGCGAATAAATCGACGTGTAGTAAAAGAGAAGAAATAGTTACTTTTTCCCGAGTCTAAAACGAAAGTAACTTATCGGATAACAAATGCTCGATTTACTTATAAGCCATACGTTGGCCCGTCTTGTTTGAATTTTTCTTAATTTTTACTCATTTAATACTCTCCATTTCATTCATCGATGGATACTATAAAAAAAGTGATTGGAAACTTTAAACGGAGCAAATAGATTTATTTAACTACTTTGCGATACAGAAACTCAATTTCTATTTGCAATAGTTTTCCTTTCAAAAATTTATTAAATATAATATTTTTTAACGCGTACAAGCTTATTACAATAAAACAAATAGGATATATTTTTTTAATTAGCTAGTAGCGCAGTTCGCAGGCATATACGTGAGCTTTAATCGGGCAAAATACGAAAACAGAGATTTAGTTAATCTACGCGAATCAGACAAGTTACCAATAGCACAACATGATTAACTTAGAGGACGGGAGAAAGAGCATTGCGCATTTTCGCAGAAGCATCTACGGCGGCGATGAGATCGACTTCACCGATATTTTCCAATTTGACATGGATGAAGACGACCACAAGCAAATGTTAACTGTAATGAGGGATTCTATGATGCGCTTACCAGGTACATTTCGCAGCGAAATGTTGGACAAATTCGCAGATGATCATCCTGATCTGAGATGGAACCCCGATGAGGATGAAGTACCGTTAGACAAGGCATCCGTATATAGTTTTGAGAGTTTAATTCCGTCACGCTGGATTTTAATTCACGAGGAATTCGACAAACAGTTGCGCTCATTTTCAAGCACTTTCTCCATACGTGATCCGGATAAGTTCTGGAGCATAGTACAGCATAAACAACAACCACACTACGAGACAGCACGTGCGCTTGCAATAGAAAAATTGTCTAACGATGTCAATACTTCATTGTATATGATTTACAAATTGAATCATTGTAAAAATAAGGACTTCAAACTGGAGGATTACGAACATTTTCAGGTTTTCAGTTGGACCGACGATCGATTTCTTGCCAGGCGCCAAATGAAAGGCATCGCTTGGGTGGATATTTTTAAAAAGTCACTCACGGAAATTTGTTTGGACGCTTTCAAACTGCGTTGCGATATTATGGAATTGGTTCGTTTGCTGAAACCATACTTTTTAAGTTTTTGTACCAAAAATAATGAGCTCGTAGTGCAGACGATAGCGATGATAAAGTGAGTGAATGAAACTCTCGAAGTAGAAAACAGTTGTGTAGTAAAATCAGAAAACTTGAATGTGTGATAACTGAAGAGTTGGTGGGCGGCTGGCATAAACTCGAAAATACTGTAAAGAGTTTGGTAGTAGTAGTCGCTCTTAAGAGTAAAAGGAGTACGTCTCTTAGGAAAGCCACATATTCTCACATACTAAGAATTATGTGAGCAAAGCTTCACAACAAAAATATTTCCTATTGTAACCGATCTGAGATCTGCTGAACTACTTGGCCTTAGCAAAGTTCATCTTGCCGCAATCGTAGGGTTCTTACTGGACATCGTCTAATAGGCATTCATGCGATAAGGCAAAAAATCTTGACGGACGCAAGTTGTTAAAGTTGTCTGGAGGAAGGTGAGTTGAAAACATCCAGTCACTTTCTTCTCCATTTTCCAGCCTTTGCAAGAGTGAGATTGAAACATCTCGGCAGTCCTACCTTCGGCGAACCAGGAGACTGACCTTAGCCGTCTCAACAAATTTGTGATAGACTCAAAGCGCTTTGTCGAATCGTAAGGGTCTTATAAATAATTAGGAGTTTTAGATAAAACAATGGACCGGCGTTCTAAGCTGTACTTAAAACTGGGATCGACCTCAACCGAACCTAACCTGACCTATGTAAAAGTAGTATGCTACTGAATTGCGTTTTGAAATCGGAGCGGCTTTGCTAACCTGATACGCCATATACGGTTTCATTTTCTCAAAAATCAACTTTTCCAGCATTAAATTATGTACAAGCTCTACTGAAACCAAATAAACTATTGTAGAAGAACTGTATTTTTTTTCTGTCGCCTGACAGTACACGCATACGTACATAATTAGTCGTATTTGTAAGTGTTCTCAGAAATATTTAGTTACTAGTAATAGTATTTATTCTAATTTTGTTTGTGCTATCATCTCAGCAAGTGGAAGTGTATGTATATATGTGCATTAAGGGGGAGCGTTAATGACATGCAAAGGTACATTGTATACTTATATATGTTTTTATACTGTTATCAGTCCAGATCCACAAGATTGGGGGGTTGCTACAGAAAAATTGTCCTTCCAGCACCAAAACAACACCTCTCAGCTACTCTTTTATTTGTTTGCCTGTTGGTTCAGACGATAACTAGATTATAATATCTTGATTCATCTTAGTACACACGTTTCTTGGAGTTTTGAGGGGATTGATATTACAGATGAACGAAATCAGAAAATTTCGACACCCTCCAAACGCTGTTAATCAATAAGCCATAATATACTACAACTCAACTGCTATTTAAGCTTTCAAAGTATCAGAGTAAATACTCCTTTCAAAAGACCGGCTTATACTATGTTCACCAACTTTGGTGAAAAAACAAACTTTTAGCATTTCTGGAATGAGCGATATCGGATTATAGGCGTATCTACTACCGTCTCTCATATTAAATTATATATTATTGAACATATTTCCAGGAGTATACTTTATATTCAAAGATGTAATTTGTTAAAAGAAGGTTATAATAGCTGTCTTTGATTCGTTATTTCTCTGCTCTCCTCTGATTTCTTGTCAAAAAAATTACATCGAATACTGCTAATAAAGAAACTACTTGTATGTGGGTATAACCTATGCATAATGGAAACAAATACAACATATA